GGAGCTGGCCAGCATCCGCTGTGAGATGGAGAGCCAGAACGAGGAGTACAAGATGCTCCTGGGCATCAAGACCCGCCTGGAGCAGGAGATCCAGCAGTACCGGGCACTGCTGGAGGAGGGGCAGCAGGATCTTGTGTACGTATTGAGCACAGCACTGTGTGACACCCGACTGCTGCTCAGTCACCGGCAGGAAATGTAACAGTCAAGAATTGCAAAACAGATTTTGTACTGAAATGAGGCAGATGCAGCTGGCTTGGCCAATCTCCTTCTGGTGTGAGATATTTTATTCTGTTCAGAGTATAATTTATGTGAAGAAAACCTAATGCAGAAATTCTGAACTACCAGTTTGGGATTGGACCTATGTAAGAGAGCCTGGTTCCAAGCTTCCAGAAAAGACTGTAAGCAAAAAAACCAACCAAAAAAACAACCCCAAAAAACAACAAAAAAAAACCCCAACAAGCCCAAACCAACCAAAGTTTTCCAAACCTTTATAAAGTTTCTGAAAGTTCAAGCTACTTCAGCCTCACTTATGCAGTGTGCCAGCTTCTTCTTGGAAATGGTGCCTGAAACAGCAGCAGAAGTTTCATTCTCTTCTTTCTTTTGATTTTGAGTCACACACTGATGTATGTGCCAAATATTGCAAGGAATCCCTAGGCAGAATGTGGGAAGAGCAAAAGCTCTTGCATTCAAGTTGAAATTGAAAGACAGGATAATTTTTGGCACTGCCTCAGTTGTTTTGCTGTGCAGTGCTGGGTTCTAACCAGCAGTATGACCCACAGAAGTGCTGGTTCCTGGGCAGCAGCTGTAGCTTAATGGCCTTCAGAGCAAAGTGCTCTTGATTAACTCTTTTTTCCCTTTCTTTCTCTCTCTTTGCAGAATCCCAGGAGGAGGAATGGGAGGAGGCATGGGAGGAGGCATGGGAGGAGGCATGGGAGGTGGTAGAATTGGAGGCGGTGGTTACTCTGGAGGAGGAAGAGGAGGACATGGTGGCATGAGTGGTGGATATGGAGGTGGTAGCAGCGGAATGGGAGGAGGAATGGGAGGAGGAAGTTGTGGAGGAGGAATGGGAGGAGGAAGTGGAGGAGGAGGAATGGGAGGAGGAAGTGGAGGAATGGGAGGGGGCAGCAGTGGTGGATGCATTGGAGGAGGAGGAGGAGGAGGAAGAACCTCAGGAGGCATCAGCAGTTCCCACTCCTACTCTTCATCTTCCCAGTCCCAGTCCTGCAGGAGCGGTGGTGAAAGCCAAGGTGAGAACTATGGTATGGGCATAATGTTCTCTCAGTCACATCTTGACTAATTTATGCACTAATTTATACCAACATGCTCTTCCAGGGGCAAACCGTACTGAGGAAAAACTAAAATTTCTGGAAAGCATTAGATTTACTGTTACTAAAAATTCTTTTCTCTTTGTGTGCAAAGAATCAACTCCATTTCCAGAGCACACAGTTGATTTATATTCCATTTTGTGGGTGATATCAGCTGATCCTGTAGTTTAACCTCAGCTGTTTTGTTTCATCAGTCTCATTCTTTGCAGAACCTCATAAATCTCACAGCCTTTGTGCCATACTGGAGTTTTCCTTTTTACTTTTGGAATGCTTATGGCCACTCCCACATAATCCTAATGTCTGGGGAATACTGGTATCTCAGACATTCAGTGCCAGGACTGATGATGTTCATGTTTATTTTATCTCTAAACAGGATATGGAAGAAAATCTTTTGACTAAGAATATACATCAAGGATCCTCCAGAGCAAGACCTTTCGAAATGAAACTGGCCCAAATCTGCTGCATTCCCCACACTCCCAAGGAAAGATGATGCTCTGAACAGTTCCAGGGAGTTGCAGATGCCACCTCTCCCCCTGCCCTGCATGCTCTGTGCTGCTTCTGCCCACAAAGCTCTGCAGCTTTGGTCATTGGCACTCAAACTGCTGCTTTACAGATCCAACCTGTTTGGTACTCAAATTGCTCTGAATCAGGAAAATGTCTCTAATAAAATTTCATTTCTGTCTGATGCAACCAGAATCTTGTGTGTGTTTTTTCTTTCCTTCTGTAGGTGCAAACACTTAGAAAACACAAAGCCATGCCAAGACACACCTCCAGGCAGAGAGGTTGATGATACACTCCAGTAGTTGATAACAAAATTTAAAGTTAAAACACAATTTCCGAGCAGTCAGGACAGATCAGAATTTTCTTGGGCTGTGCTTTTGTTTTTTAATAATGTGTCAGATATACATATGAACTGAGCTCTGAGACCCAACAGATGAATATCAGCCTCAAAGGGACTGCAGAACCTCAGTGCTAGATGACTCTAATGGTGTTGGCAGCACGTGAGTGTCCACAAGGGAACACTCACGGTTACAGAGCCATGGTTGTAAAATGAAACTAATATTTCAATTCACAAAACCTTGATGGATACTCATTGGTTTAACCTGGAAATGCACAGATAAGGGATCTTGTTTTGAAATTATAAGAAGTGAAAGGGATATATAATTTACAGGAACTTTACAAAGTTCATTTCATATTAACATAAAATGTTAATATTAACAGCAATTGCCTTCAACCTCTGAGAAATTAAGTACATAAAAGGGCCTGGAATGATCACTGTTGGATATAGCTACCAGTGTATCCCAGCAACTGAGGGGCCACAATTCCAGCAAGGCTGCCCAAGGGGAGGGTACATCTCACTTGCACACTACCTTGCAGGCTGCACACAAGGGAGGGAACTCTGAGGCCGAGTTGAGAGTGAAAGAAAATGTGAGTTCCAGAGCCGAGGAGCAGCACTGCTGAGTAACACAACAGATGGACGTAAGTACGGATTGAGAGAAGACACAAAACTGATTTCCAGAAATACATGTCACACTGCCATGCAAACTTTCTCAGCACTTGGAAACCATTCAGGGAAAGAGAAACACTTGACTTACACCAAGCCAAAGTCTGCTGGCATTGTGCTGGCATCAACGAGCCTTTGCAGGCTTGTTAAACAGAGTTGGTGCTGCCTAAATGCTGCCAAGGACATGGAACAGGAACAGTGAGATTCTAAATTTATCCTTCTTTGGTTTAGTGGTTTAGAAACTTGAACTACACACACCATCCACAAAGAGCCACGGTGTTCATGATAAATTGTTTGAGGATTAAGAATTGTGCGTATTCCAGAGCCCTCTAAGGGAAGGAATTGCATTGCCACCTCCTACAGGTGCAGGGACAGAGACATCCACGGATGTGAGTCCATGCTTTAAACTAACCTTGGAAGAGTATTTATTTCCCTGACTCCTAATTACTTTGCTTCCCAACAGGCACTAACTGCTACACATCATACAGTGAAGTCCAGTAGGGGTTAAAACAGAACGAAGACAGCAATTACTGAGACCCAAGTGGAGGACAGGAAGGATTTCCAATATCATTTTACATCCATAAGGCCCAGTATTGGGTTTGTGTGGCAAGGTTTGGGTAGCAGGGGATACAGGGGGATTTCTGTGAGAAGCTGCCAGAAGCTTTCCCCATGTCCAGTGGATCCAGTGCCAGCCCAGGACGGCCCAGGCCAGCCAGGGCAGAGCCCCTCAGTGATGGTGGCAGCACCTTGGGGGTAACAGAGTTACCAAGGGTGAACAAATCTGCACAACTGCAGCCAGAGAGAGGAGTGGGCTTCTTTCTTCTTCTGTAATATGGAACCTCTTCCTAAAACACTTCTAGGTTGAATCCATCCTCCCTCTCCATGGGTAAGCTGACTTTGAGGTGGCAATTCACAACAAGTCCCACCAGTTCCTTGTGCTTCCTTTGCGCAGCCCAGTGACTCTTCCATAGGAGTTGGCAGTGTTGGTATTTTAAGCGCAAGTGAAAATTCGAAAATTTGTTTCTGTTCAAGGCTTTTCTCAGTTTCACAGGAGCTTGATTAGTAAAGGTGGAAAAAGCAGCTCACTGCTGTTCCCTTTTGCACAGGCAGTGGAAAAAAGTACACAACTGTTTCTGACTCTGTTGGGTTGTGCAAGGTATTCTGTCATGGTTGCAAAACACCCTTCGCTGTAATGATCTCAGGTAATGATGATATTTTTTTCAGATCTAATCTTTGGCTCTTTTAATCAAACTTATTTTTTCATTGTATTATAAAATTCAAAGATGTATTCTGAGAAATTACTATTTAATACAGTTATGAAAATACACAAAGTAAAATATTTCTCCTCTCAAATTCCTCTGAGTCCATTTAAAATGGCTACAATAAAATATGGAGCTCTTTGATAGGAAAAGATTTAATATCTTTTCCCTTGCACAATGTTACTTTTGTGTCTGTTATGCAGAGTTTTCTTCAAAAAGAAAAAAGACTGTGATCCACATGCTGCATGTTCAGAGAAAGCTGAATGCCAGCAGGACCGTATTCAATACAGAGTGAAAAATTCAGAGTCAAGTTTTCTTCTGTAACAGACATGGGAATGCAGTCTTAAAAAATTTTATTTCAATGCCTTAAAGTAAATTTCTATGAAGCTGATGTAAATTTGAAATAAATTAATGAATTAAGAGTCCCTTTGAGGCTGCTGTGTTATGAATCATGTCTGTGATCTCAGGTGGAAGACCAAAGCTGAGCAACTGAGTTTCAAAACCTAAAAAATGATGGACACAGACAATGAGGCAGAGACTTCATTAGCTGCCGTTACCAGTGAGATATTGCCAGATTAACAGAAACCGAGAGATACAACATTGTTCAACAAAATATCCAACAAGGAGCCACCCACATAAAATTATAGTGCAGCTAGGTGTGAATCAACTAAGACATACTTGAACTGAATGGTAATGCCTTTTACTTACCTCAGACAAAATTCCCCTTAGCACATCACTTTCAGCATGAGCACCATGGCTGGCAAGGCCCATGGGAAGCTGGACTGCCTGGCAGGTGACACCCACCCGGGCAGGTATAAATAGCCACCAGCAAGGACGGCCTGCTCACTTTGATTTCCTCTATCTCACTGTGCACAGCTTTGCATCTGGGGCTGGATATCTGATCCCTTCACCATGAGCTGCAGCATCAAGAGATCATCCAGCACCTCGTACAGGAGCGGAGGAGGAGGTGGAGGCGCCTGTGGTGGCAGCAGCGGCCGCAGCTCCTCCGTGTCCTGCCGGCGCTACGCCTCCTCCGTGATCGGCGGTGGCAGCTACGGCGGGGCAGCCTGCGGGGGCTACGGGGGCGGCCTGAGCATGGGCGGCCTGGCCGGGGGCTTTGGCGGGGGCTTTGCGGGCAGCTGTGGCCCGGGGGGGGACCTGCTGCTCAGCGGCAATGAGAAGGTCACCATGCAGAACCTCAACGACCGCCTGGCGGCTTACCTGGAGAAGGTGCGAAGGCTGGAGGAAGAGAACGCCCAGCTTGAGCACCACATTCGGGAGTGGTACAGGAAACAAGCTCCCAATGTTTCCAAGGACTACAGCTCCTACTACCAGACCATTGAACAACTCCAAAATCAGGTAGGATCATCCCGGCACACGTGGCTCCATCTCCTGTATGCTTCTCTCTCCTCTAAGACTTTCCTCCTTCCTTTTTGCTTCTTCCTCCTCCCTCCATCCCCAGCACTGGGCTCTACCGCCCGCGGGACGGCCGTGCTGGTGGCACCGCAGGCACAAACCTGCTGAGCTGCACCTCCCATCCCCTGGGTGAGCAAAGCCTCACAGCAGCCCACAGGCAGCAGGGCACAGCCCCAGGCACCAGGAGCTCCAGCAGCCACAGACACGCTGCCTCACGCAATGTTCATCCCACGTTGTGCAGGTGGCTCCAAACCAGCCATGTGTGCTTTGCACTGCTTCCCTCTGCTCCCACCCAGATCAGCTGGATGGAGTGCAAAGCCAAAGCACCGGGATGGCAGGACCTGAGCTCCCTTTGTCCCTGTCCCTCTCCTACAGACACCAGGTGGAAGGACTCAGGTCTTCCCTTACAATCAGGTCACATAGTACCAAAAAAACAGAGTAAACAGACACTGTGAAGTAATACATTCTATGAAAAGTTCTGCAAACACACTTTGGGACACACAGGGTCTGTCCTTAACTTGATAAAAGGAAGAGCATGGATTTGGCAGGATGATCTCTAATAGCACAAGCTTCCCTGAAAAGTAAATCTGGATCTTTACCCTTCCATATGGCCCTTGCACTACTGCTAGAAACAATTCTAGGACCCACAATAAAACCCTACCAAAGCTTCATGTCTTCTTATTGCTTTGTCCTGCAAATCTAGAACACAGAAATACTCCTCTCCCCCTTCCCCTTTTGCAGATTATTTCTGCCACTGTGGACAACAACAGAATGCTTCTGGACATCGATAACAGCAAGATGACTGCCGATGACTTCCGAATGAAGTGAGTACCTCCCTGTGAACATTCCATGTCTGTCAAATCCCTGTCATCATCGAAGAAGACAAGGGAGAACTGCCCTGGGTGGTATTACTGAGTCATCCCATTTTACTGGAATACTGATCTTGGAAGGATCTGTGCTATTGACTGTTAGCGTCTCATTTCCCCATTTCTCTGTCTCTGTGTGTGTGACATAGGTATGAGAATGAGCTGGTCATCCGTCAGACCGTGGAGTCTGACATCAATGGCCTGAGAAATCTCATGGATGACCTGACTCTGGTTAGATCTTCACTGGAATCTGAGCTGGAGACCTTGAAGGATGAGCTGATTGCTCTGAAGAGAAACCATGAGGAGGTACGATCCACTGATAGATGGCACAGCCAAAGACAGAATGCATTGCTTCTTCACGGCTCCCACCATCACATATCAAATCAATTTCACCTTATTCATTATATAATATATATATTTATTCACACCATGGGACTGTCATTCCTTTGTACCTTGGACTGCTTTGCCCACAGTCCCCAGCACAACAAATGACCTGTGTGTGCTCTTGTGTCTCTCTCTGGACTCCCTGCAGGAAATGAGGCAGCTCCAGTCCCAAACTGGTGGCGATGTGAGCGTGGAGGTCAATGCTGCCCCTGGAGAAGACTTGACAAAGATCCTGAATGACCTGAGAGATGAATATGAGCAGATCATTGCGAAGAACCGCAAGGAGGTGGAGCAGTGGTATGAGGTCAAGGTATGTAGCAATGCCCAGAGTGGGAACTGGGTGGGACGGCCCTGACACCCTGGTACCGGGACTGGCTGAAAGGGAGAGGCTCCCTGGAGATGTGAGCACTCGCTCAGCAAATCTGCTCCCTGAGGAGCTGCTGTGGCTCAGAAAGTGTCTCTGGGGTTTGACTCTGCAGATCCAAGAAGTCAATCAGCAGGTCACTTCCAGCAGCCAGGACATCCAGACAAGCAGCCACCAGCTCACCGAGCTGAGGCGCGAGATGCAGAACCTGGAGATCGAACTGCAGGCGCAGCTCAGCACGGTGCGTGGGCAGCATCTGCGGGCCCTTCCCTCCTTGGCACGGGCAGGGAGCTGTAGAACTCTGCTCCTCAACTCCTGTGTTTGCCTTTCCAGAAAGGCTCTCTGGAAAACTCTCTGGCAGAAACCGACTCTCGCTACAGCTGCCTGCTCCAACAAATCCAGGGGCAGATAAACTGCATCGAGGAGGAGCTGGCCAGCATCCGCTGTGAGATGGAGAGTCAGAGCCAGGAGTACAAGATGCTGCTGGGTATAAAAACCCGCCTGGAGCAGGAGATCCAGCAGTACCGGGCACTGCTGCAGGAGGGGCAGCAGGATCTTGTGTACGTATTTCATATTTTAGCAAGGGTGTAAAAAGAAATCCTCATGTATTTATTTACTAACAGAAAATTTTTGTCCCTAAAGCTACATCAACATATCTTTCAAGTGAACATCCCATGTTAGTAGGTTTTGATGAATTCTCTCTTTTTTTTTTCTTTCCTCACAGTGCTTCCCAAGGAGCTTTCCAAGGAGGTGGAAAATCCTCCCAGACATATTCTGCTTCCTACTCTCATTCCCAGTGTGGGGAGATGTCAGGTAAGTCAACACTCTGTAAGCATGTGATTACTAGTGGGTTACATCTGCCCCAATGGCTGCAATGTATTTAGTCAGAAAAAAGTTTGGGTTGGGAAAGATTCCGAGGTCCATTAGCTAAGGAGTGAGAAAACTCATTACTCTGTTGCAGTAGAATCAGGGGTTAAAATACATCAAGTGTTGCTCTTCCCTCTGCCTAAATAAAATACAGCTTACAAACTATGGGATGGGAAATACTTTTTGCTTACTGGAATAATAAAAAAACACAGTTCTGAGAAAGCGCTCAGGTTGCTGCTGGGCATGGAGCCTCCGTGCCTCTGCTGCTGACGCTGTCAGGTGTAAGAATTCCACTCAGCAGGAATGCTCAGACTTCCCCTCAAGGCAGTGATTTGCTCTGTGTTCACACAGGGCAGTCAAGAGTGTGCTAGAGCACCAGGAGAGACCCTGGCACCATCCAGCTGAGATGCACCGACCATGGGCGGCAAGAGACACCCGAGAGTTTCTGCAGCATGGCCAAGGCAGCAGGAGGGGTTTGGAAGATGAGCCTGGTCACCTGCCCCAGCACCCCTTCCTTGGCCCTGCAATGCTTGGCTTACTCAACTTGTGTTTGGCAACTCATTCTTTGTTAAAGGGCTCACCCTCTGCTGGTAACTCTGCTCTAATAAACCTTTATGTCTGCAATGCAAATCACAACTTGTCTGAGAAAATCAATATAATCAACCTCGTGTGGGTACTTCTCCAGATCATCCACCAAACATGGGCTGTGCAGTTGTACAGTGTACGTGGTCTCAGGACAGTCCATTTCACACTAGGAAAATGGACACAGTACTGGGATAGAACCACTGAGTGAAAGGAAATAGCTGGCAGTGTGACCATGGCTGTGTGAGGTGAGACAACAGCCACCGTCTGCCTAGGGAAACTGCCGGGTGAGGCTGGCAGAGCCCTCTCTTCACTAGCAAAAAATATAAAGCTGAAAATAGAAACCTTGTTGTGTTCTTGACACAAGTTTTCTCTTTCCTGAGACATTAAAAACCACTTACCATTTTGGTTTTCAGTGGTCACTAAGGGATTGCTTTCTGGCCCCTTGCCTTGCCACTTGCACTATGAGAGAATTAATTATGTGAACGGAGAAAGAAAATACAAATGATGCGTAACTATCATGAGATCAACTGTTAATTTACTAAACTGTGCCCAGTGGTACTACTATAACTTATCTGAGTCCATTAGTCTCATCACAGCTGGAGCCCTGTGAGAAGGAAGGTGTGACTCAGCAGAGGTTGCTCCAGCATGAGGGGGCTCCTCACAAGTATTTCTACATCTTTTGTTGCACACAGAATTACATATTGCTGACTTCTGTTAGGAAAAACAGACAATGGAACAATGTATCTATTTCCTTCAGCGTCATGCCCCAAAAGCATTCCAATGTTTTATGAGAGAAATTTCAATTTAAATACTGATATAATACCATGAACCCAATTTCTGTAATTATACACAGCTGGCTGATACTTTGCCTTAAGAGAAATGAGAGACACATTCCTTTCATTGAAGGTATTTTCTACATTTTTCTGCTTAAGAACATAACATATGAAACAAAATTAGAGACGAGAGAGCAATACTAAATTGAAGCAGTTCTTTTAGATGTATTTTGCTTTCTGAAGATCACAGTGAAGTTCCTTTTCAGTCCCTGACTGTTGTGCACCAGATACACAAAATCGGCCTTGTATCACTTACAGGTGCCTGTTCATCCCTTCCCCACTGATTAAACCTGGTTTCTAGTATTTCCCATTTCATTTCAGACTGAAGGATTGATCTGTTAGGGTAATGAAATGAAACACTTTCTCATCACAACCAACTTAAAAGAGTTTGATCTTGTTTAGGTCTTCTCTCAGTAGCCACACGCCTTGGCTCTGCCAGCACAGCCCCCTGACTGCAGCCTGCAGTGAGTGCCCACAAAGAATACACTTTCTACTCCTGTTGAAAAACTGACTTTTATCAGTCCAGCATCAGGAATTTGTGTGAATAAAAGCCTGTCTACAATGAATAAAAAGCTCATTTCAGGTTTTAACAGTATAGAAAGTGATGCAAAGCAAATGCAAACGTGGCTTTTGTCCCCAGAGGCTGCCAGAACTCGCTCAGGTCTCAGCTATATTTATTGTAAGCAAAGCAGCTGAAGGAGACATCTCTTTTGAGGCAAGATTATGGAACCTTAAACTACAGTTCATGAATGTAACTAAAGAACTGAAAAGTTCTTTTGCTTCCTTCTAACATTCCAGAAGCACAGAACTCCCAGGAACTCCAGAGCAGCAGTGTTTGTCCCCATTTCTGAGCTGATTTGGGAGTGTGAGGTCTTGGTGCAGTGGGTGGCACTGGGGAGCGTCCTCAGGAGTCTCTATAGCAGGATCAGCTCACTGCAGAGTCCTGCAGCTGACAGCACAATGCCCTCCAGACATTCCTGCTGATCCATGGGGCACTAACCCCCACCTAGGGATGGGCCAAGGGCTGTCCTAGGGACAACACACAGCACAGGTGTGCCACAGGCACAGCAAGACCCACAGCCTCCATCTAAGGCTGGCAGGTGCTCCAGAAACCTTGTGCTGTTGCTGTGATCAGCTATCCACTGCCTGCTCCTGTGCTCACTTCACTCATCCACGTTCTTAGAAAAAGCCATACACTTGCTTAGTGTTCTTGAACAGATCTACAGGATAGGAAAAAAAGGCTTTGGCAGGGAGGAATCTGGAATTCAATTAGTCGCCATCATCGATAACAGGAGCACATGGAAGAAGGTAGAGAGAAAAAGAACAGGAAAAGATCCCTCTTCTGGAAGTGTTTAATTTCCCTTGAGAAGTAACTCTAAATTTGTCCTTTTTCAGTGGTAGGAAGGACTATGAGTAATGATTTAGATCAAGCACAGAATTAAAATAGCTCACATTTAATAGGATTTTCTGTAGGTCTATACATATGCAAGTTTATGAGCCCAGCCCATGGAGTGAATAAGAGAAGGATGAGCCCAGAATGGGGGTTTGTGGAATCCTACAGCTCTGAATGAACTGGACAAATGCACAGGTTGAGCGATGCTGCAGAACAATGGATGACGGATGAGGAATGCACAAATGGAGTTCCTGACGAAACTCTTGGGAGTTGCACTCTTCTTACCAAGACCACATTTGACTCATTTACTGTAGAACAATTAATTACCAGTAATTGTATCTAGGATTGTCCTCTCCCTCTCGTGTGATTGAAGACATACATCCAGTAATGCCATCACAGCCTCTGTGGAAACCACAGCCTGCTTTTGGTTCTTCTGCCAATTTGGAGTATCTGTTTGTGGCTCAACATCCAACTTCACCGGTGAGTAAACAGCGCTGGGAAAGGATTCACAGCACTCCTACTTCAAACAAACTTCTGACTTGCCGAGGTCCATGAGGTGCACTATGAACAGAAGGTCTGCCACGGGAAGATGTGATTTCAAAGTTCTTACAGCACCTTTGAATGGCTGAGGAGCCTCAACATCTTCTACAGCAGAACATGTCTGACCTCCTTCTGTCATTACAAGGACTACGAAAAGTAATGGCTCCTGAACAGTCCTGGCTCTTCTGGCTTGTGAAGTAGATCAGCAGGTCCAAACTCGCTCACAACAGCCAACTCAGGCCATGAGCCATGGACACAGGACAGTGGCCAAAAATGCACATGGAGACAAGGAAATACCCCTGAGTTACAGAACAGAAAGTCTAGAAATTAAACGTTTGGGATGCAGTTAGCAAGGATAGTTAGAGCACCTATTTGAAAAAATAAGGAAGGAACAGAGAGACAGAGAAAAAGCACCTGGTGATGGTATGAAATTACAGCATTGGGAAATGTCAGGAATTGTTGGGTCGAGTGTTGTGATGCAATGATGCCAAGAAGGAGATATAAAATCAGCACCTCTGGCACTAACACCAATCAGCAATAAACATCTCATAGGGGAGAATAAAAGTGCATTTCAACAATCTAATGAGGAAAATATGACTAAGGAATCACACCCTGTGAGAAAATAATTTTTATTTTTTAATAATGATGACTCAGTCTCAATAACATATGCAAAGCACTTGGTTCTGACGTGTGGATAATTAAAGAGCTACCAATAAAACAACAATCATAATTATGCAGCTCAAAGGATTACATTAACTGTGATATGGGGGTGGTGGTGTGTCAAGAAAGAGGGTGAATGGTTTTCCATGATTCTTCAGTCATCCATAACACACATTAGTAACTTTTATGGATCTCATAATCATTGTGGCTAAGAAAAAAAAAATGCTGCTTGAGCCACAACTGCAGGGTGTGTGTAAGTAACAGCATAAATGGAGAAACCAACAACAAAACAAATGGGTAATAACCTCCAGTAGAGATGGATTTCCATCAAAGTTCAGTGCTCACATTTCGAGACCCCTTGTCTTTCAGGATTAAAATTCACATTTTCCAAAGGTTATTTAAAGGCAAAATTTCCTAAGAAGGGCTTATGACAATCTGCCCCCTTATAGAAATGGTGCAGCTCTTCAGCACCAAGGGACAAAAGACCAAAGGTAAGGGGGATCTAGAGGATCATCACAGCTATCTCTGTTATACAAGGATAAAATCCCCAACGTCAGTTGACCAAGACTTGAAACTATCTCTTCCATCCACAGCTCCTGCAATGCAAACTCTTCAAGACTCTTCTGCCTCCCACAGTTAAAAATTTCCTTTTACTTTCCAAATACACTCAAATCCAGACTGTGTTCATTCCCACATGTACAACAGGATTGTTCTGTATTTCAAACAGCCCTGGTACCTCCTTCCTCAAGAGCCAGCTGATAACAATCTCAGCCTCCATCTGGCCGAGCCAAATCCTTTCTTTCCTCTCCCAGGATACAGTCAATGCAGCCATACAGATTTCATGTACATATTATGATCACTGAGTGATCATAAATTTGCACAAAAATGTTTAAAAACTCACAGCTTTAAAATGCCATCACTGCATGCTCATGAGACAAGAGCATTTCCTGGAAGTGATACCACCTGAGTTTGGTGAGAACAGAAATAATATTGCTGCTGTTAAGCTCATTCTACAGTGATTTACCATTAAGTACCCTGAGAGATAGGGTCCACATTGAGCTTTCTTTCTAAGGGAAGCACCCAAATTCTTAGAGATTCTGTTTCCAGGGAAGTTCCACAGGCTGATTTGAACCAGCCTCTTGCAAAGGGTGCCTGAGTTCATACTTCTTCAAATCTGAAATTAAAGCAGAGTGATTAGGTAGGTGGTGCTTTCACCACCTGTTTTCAGGACAAAAGAAGTTACTTCAAAGAACAAAGAACAACTATTAAAATGAGTCTCACTCACTAAGTAGCCAGCAACAAACTATCTCCAACAAAATCTAACACACAGCCACCCACCCAAAATTGCAGTGCAGGCTTGGTGTGAATCAGCATGCAAACACAGAACCTGGGGGGAGGGCTGTCCCAAGCCCCAAAAGAAATTCCCCTTAGCACATCACTTTCAGCATGAGCACCATGGCTGGCAAAGCCCATGGGAAGCTGGACTGCCTGGCAGGTGACACCCACCCGGGCAGGTATAAATAGCCACCAGCAAGGACGGCCTGCTCACTTTGATTTCCTCTATCTCACTGTGCACAGCTTTGCATCTGGGGCTGGATATCTGATCCCTTCACCATGAGCTGCAGCATCAAGAGATCATCCAGCACCTCGTACAGGAGCGGAGGAGGAGGTGGAGGCGCCTGTGGTGGCAGCAGCGGCCGCAGCTCCTCCGTGTCCTGCCGGCGCTACGCCTCCTCCGTGATCGGCGGTGGCAGCTACGGCGGGGCAGCCTGCGGGGGCTACGGGGGCGGCCTGAGCATGGGCAGCCTGGCCGGGGGCTTTGGCGGGGGCTTTGCGGGCAGCTGTGGCCCGGGGGGGGACCTGCTGCTCAGCGGCAATGAGAAGGTCACCATGCAGAACCTCAACGACCGCCTGGCGGCTTACCTGGAGAAGGTGCGAAGGCTGGAGGAAGAGAACGCCCAGCTTGAGCACCACATTCGGGAGTGGTACA